CTCTCTCCCCCCCCCTCCAATTTTGTTGTTTTGTTTTCCTTGTTGTGGAACCTCCTCTGTGAAATGAAAGAAGGAAGTCTGAAAACCTCTCAGATTTGTGCAGGTAGAAGTGCCCCTGCATGTCAGGGATCTGGTGCCCTGCGATGTTTCCTGTCCCAAGTGTCTGCCCCCTTAACTCTTCAGACCCCGCTAGGACCACAGGACAGAAGAAATCTTCCCCAGTTGTGCACTACTGGAATGTAACACACATCCTCCATCCTCCCCACCCCCAAGGGCTGTTAAAAGAATGTTCATCTGTTTTAAATAGATTTTTTTTTTAAAGCCCTAGGGAGGATGGACAGCCCACACCTAAGTGCGTTTATGTTCATGACTACGGACTCTTAACAAATTAGTTAGTAGGGGAAGAGCTAGAGTACTTTTAATTTAGGCTGCAGCGTAGTTTCTTTTGGTTTCTCTTTGTATTTGTTTTAAACAGGCGCCAATTATAAAGATATAATTTGAAGCTTAGACGTAACCGGGGCAGTGTCTATCACGGTGCCTTAGCAAATTTATGTGTGCTCTTTCTGTGTTTCTACAGAGCTGGTGACTGAGCTGTGATAGAATAGTACCTGCTTAATTTTAAACTGAGTTTTCCTTAAGTGTCTGCCAAATATGTTTTTATCACACTGAATTTCTGTATTGTAACTACACTTTCACTAGTTCACAAAGAAGAAAGTAGCCAACCTATTGTCAGAGTGACTTTCTTCACTTTTTAAAAAGAGCTTGATCAAAACTGTTTTGATTTTAAAAAGACAACAAAAAAAGCCAATCACTGTTTTGGAGAACCCCAGTATGTGCCTATGAAAACAAAGTTAAGGATTCTTTTTATATTCATATTAGCTTAAGATACATTTTCAGTGCTTAAGCAACCTTATGTCAGATCAAAATCTGTGGGTCATCACCCTTGGGTCTGTTGGCATAGAGAGATAATTGTAATTAAAAAAAATACCATTACTGACCACCAAAAGTCGTATTTATGGAATACTTTAACACCATCAGAGTCACCAACTGTTTCTTATTTTAAAACTTTTCTTTATGCCAGGGAATGTTAATTTACATTAGACTCATGCGGCAGAAAAATGAAATATTTACATTTTGACAGTAATAATTATTCCAAGTTTGGTTGTATTCCATTACTTATTGTAATTCTCATATTAAAAGGCCTGCCATAATCAATGGGTGAGCCTAGCATTTTGGAGGAGCATAGGGACTTCTGGGCCTGCCCTTCAGGAACTACTGGTATCTGATGATAATCCCTAAACACAGAGTTATAGCCCATGACAATAAGGGATTGCATGTCTGATGAGAACTCCAGGAGTTCAGAGCATGACAGTAGCATTTCACACTGGCCTTTGTCTCCACAGACTTGAGTGGTAGGTCAGACTTATTGTGTCATTATCTTAAAGGGGGTGTGTAGTTAGTAAAGTATGGGTATATCTTATACCTATAAAGTATAAGATGCAAATCTCCTGGATTACAGAACAGAAAAAAAAAGACATAAGGATGATAAGTTTGCTTTGAAATAGATTTAGATTTTGCTATATACTGTGCCAAGTAGAGAGTGGGTCTGTCTTTGATGTACAGCGTTTGGTAATTTCTGTTCTTGCAGTTCATTGTTAGTATTTCTGCACTTGAGAAGACAAATCTGTATATCTTTGTTAAGCAGTTTACAAGTGGACTACAAAAGTAAAGTATTTCCAGGGAAATGATACTTTAAATGTTTAACTGTATCCACAGCACATTAAAGTGTTGAGTTTAGTGGCTATGGTAGGGTGCACATACAACCTCTTTGTGTTAGCATGTTTTCATTACTTTCCTACTTAAAACTTTCTTAGGCTTGTTCCAAAGAGGTGTGAGGAACTGTAAAACAACACTACTGATGGACAGTCATTGAACATTTAGTATTTCGCCATCACATAAATGCCCAGTCCATTAAATAATGTGTTTACTCTTAGTTTTACTAGTGAATTGTTAGAATTATTAGATAGGTTAGATTTATATATGTGAACCCACATAATACTTGAGCTACTCTTACAATATTTTCCATGAATACAGAGGAAGTGGGGAAGTTTTCAGTAGCAATACTTTTAAAGATGTTTTTTCTGTTTCTTGGTAAGAAACTGAATTACTAATAGAGGTATGACCTATCTGTGATCTAAAGTTATTTGTGTATTTATAATTTTTAGACAAACCATGAAACTGTTTAAAATGCGTTTTTTCATTTTACAAACATAAGGGGAAACATCAGAACTGACTTTGAACCTATTTATTCTGCTTGACTGTGCAGAAGTATCTTATAGTGACAGTAAAGAAACTACACATATTAGATAAGACTTTCAATAGCCAGATGGAATTACTTTTAGATTTGTTGAATTAAAATATTTTCATATATATTGTTGACAGTGTGTAGATAAGTTACTACAAAAGTGAAAGCCTATCATATCAGCAATTTCATGTGAGAATGGAGTGATTTCCAACATAGTAGGGGCAGATCAGCCTATCTCTCTGTCAGCTGGTCTCTTTGCAGTTTGTTTTGGAATAGATGTCACAGGTGTATCATTTTGATAATGTAATCTTGGCTACTGTATGATTGACAGCATCTGCATAATTTCCCTATTGGATAATGACAAGATCTGCTTTCTTTCTATAGAAGACATACGCTTCACTATGCAAGAGTGTCAGTTAACAATAAAAAATGAAGTATGGGGTGAGAGAGGGAGTAGGGAAAAGATAGAGAGGCCAAGGGAAAACACTAACGAAAGAAACATGCTTCACTCTAGAGCTAAAGGTAATTATAAAAATGTAAAGCTGGCCATACTCACCTGCAACAAACAGTACAGAATATTCTTACTGGTCTTGCATTTTATCTGCTTCTGTGTGCTAAATTAAAAGGAAAAAAAAAATGATAGTGGTCAGCAATGCTTCCAAACATTGTTGGTATGATATTAAAAACCATTAAAATATTTCTGCTTAGTCATTGAAAACAAAGTTCTTTGGCCAAATTACTTAGCCATTCACTGAGAACTTTGAGCATAGGCTTTGGTTTTAGATTACTTATATTCATATTTTTTAAAGTTTTTAAAAATTAAACTGATTAATATTTTTTAGTAACTTATCTGTACCATGATACCAAATAAAACCTGAAGGTCTTTTGTGAAAGAACACGTTATGACTATGTTATGGCTAATTCCTAACCTAGAGCCACAAGTCTCAAAGTGTGTTCCCGAGCAGCAACAGAAGCTCCTGGTAACTCTTGAAATGCTGGCTCTCCACTGAGTCCCCATGCTGTGAGCAAATCAGAAGCTTTGGGAGAGAGTCCACCCTGTGATTCTTATACACCACGAAGTTTGACAAACACCAAGTTCAGTATTTTATAGTGAAGTTGGAATATTGTGTCTTCTACCTAGTTTGTATGTAAATGCTTTCTCCAACTGTCAGTTTAACTATTCAGTTTTGGAAAATACTAGTTTTCTTTAAAAGATTTTGCATTTGTTGGCAAAATTTCAGCTGAGTTTCCAGTTTCTATGCACACATTGGGTAGATTGGGAAGTGATGAGACTCTAACTGTCCAGTAATGAGGTCAGGCTAGACCTCATTGGTAGACATTCAGACAGAAAAGATTGTGTGTTCAAAGACTGACAATTTTCTATTTCATTTTGTTCATTCTTTTTTTGTTGTTATTTTTATGTGTATGAGTGTATTCCTGCATGCATGTCAGTGCACCCATGTTGTACAGTGCCCACGGAGGTCATGAAAAGGCATCAGATTCCCTGGAACTGGAGTTACGGACTGTTGTTAGCCACCATGTGGGTGTTGGGAATCAAACCCGGGTCCACTGTAAGAGCAGCCAGTGCTCTTAACCGCTGAGCTATCTCTCCAGCCCCCTCATCTTGTTCATTCTTATGGAATATTTTTGGTCTTAGTAATAATCTTTCTCTGCAGAAGACTACAGTTACTATAGGGATACAGCCACAGCATCACACAAATGGAATAGTCTCAAAGCGTTACTACT